AATAATACTAATACAGTTATGAGTTATGTGTTCCATTTATTAGAATAATACTGTTCCTTAGGCGGGTTTGATTCCTGCATGTTTAAAGAACCCATAGATACAGCTTCTAGATAGGAACTCCTCTTACTCTTGTCTTTACTTGCATCTACAAAAAAAGTTATAAAGTTAAAGTTCACGTTAAAAAATAATCATGTTATAATTTATAAATTCTCTTTTATGAAAAGTTATAAAGACGAAAAGCAGTGTACTGTGTACAAGGTGTATCTGAAAAGCAGTGTACTGTGTACAAGGTGTCTCTGAAAAGCAGTGTTATGTGTACAAGGTGTCTCTGAAAAGCAGTGTACTGTGTACAAGGTGTCTCTGAAAAGCAGTGTACTGTGTACAAGGTGTCTCTGAAAAGCAGTGTACTGTGTACAAGATGTCTCTGAAAAGCAGTGTACTGTCTCTGAAAAGCAGTGTACTGTGTACAAGGTGTCTCTGAAAATCAGTGTACTGTGTACAAGATGTATCTGAAAAAAGTGTGTTTACTGTTTAGGCTTTTTAGCCTACGAAATATCGTTCAAATGTGTTAAAAAGTGCTTCTCGGAGGTACAATATTCACTAATGAGGGTGTCGTCGATGAAGCATTTTTCTCTAAAATGCCGTTTTAACTTTCAAAAGCGGAACTGATATTCGAAAATGTGCTCGGCCTCCTTTCAAAGATTTAAAAAAAGATTCAAATTATGAATTTATTTTTACGTTTTATTCGACATGAGTAGAAAAAATTGCACATTTTCAATGATAGAATGTTAGTTGGCTAAAAAGCCTAAAAAAAACTTTTTTCAGAGACACACATTTTTAAAATAATCTTGCTTTTTAAATACTTGGGCGTAAAATTTCAAGGTAGAGAACTATGAGGTTACGAATTCGTAACAGTAAATATTGATAAATTTGAACTTTTCATTGTGTCAAATTAGAGTGATTATGATTACAAATAATTAAGAGATAAATATATTATTTACTCTTTTTTAGATATATTTTACAAAGAATGTACGTTTCCAACGGAAATAAATTTGAAAAGTTTATTTACTCCAGCCGATAAACAAACAAATATGACCTTTTACAAACGCAAAACAACTTCTTAACTTTGTTTATTTATTTGTTTCCGACAAATGTCAAGAAAGTGATGCTTTCAACTAGTTTCTGAATAAAAACAATTCAAATAGGATTTGGCAAGAAATGAAGTTTTAACAGTTTATTGAAAAGAGCAAATATAACTTTTATTCAAGTTTTATATGATAACATGAAAGAATTTTCCAAAAAAAAATTAATCGCAAATAAAATTTCATATTACTCTTCTGCCCAGAGTCCAGACCTGTTCCAAGTAAATGCTAAAATAAGAGCAAAATGGCAAAAAAAAAATGTTCAGAGGACTGGTATTTTGTTGCTAATATACAAGTTAGAAGTTCACGGCTAACAAACTTATATAGAACTTACTGCATCTCTTATTTAAAATCTGTCCAAAATTGAACCGTTACTTTACCGTGAACTGTGCAGTTTTCCTTAATGCATGGTAAAAAAGGCACCATCTTTCTTTTTCTCGAACACTCCCTTTTAAAACTTAATTATTCCAACCTGTTCCATTCGTTCTCATAACAACAGATGAGTTATCCTGGGAGTGCACACTAGGAGAGGAGGTAACCTACAGAAATCAATCAATTAATCAACGTATCAATCAATTTAACCAATCAATCAATCAATCAATTTAACCAATCAAGCAATCAAGCGATTAATCTATCAATCAATTGATCTGACACTGGACCAGTCAAGCAAAGGAAATAAAAATTGAAAAAAACTGAGTGAGAGATAAAACTAGATAAAACTAGATAAAACTAGATAAAACTAGATAAAACTAGATAAAACTAGATACAACTAGATGCCGATTCCGGTTTGTTTCTACATGTATGTAAACTTGTTAACACAAATTCCAAATATAAGGAAGATGATTCTGTGTGGTTTGTATGCTGCTATATATTTCGAGATGTATAAATCCTTTTCCGGAGTTAGCAGTTGAACACATTCAGCCCACGTTCCTTCCTACCCCCCCCCCCTTCTCTTCCCTACCTACAGGTCCTCAGTCAGATTGAAACAGTTGAGATGTTAACAGCTCGTCTCAAGGAGCAACCTGGCTCCTTCATGATGATGATACAGATACCTAGCTAGCAACAGGCGATGCTTACATCCAGCCAAATAATGTTCCTAGAGTTCCAAAATTATCATGCGAACATAGAGGAGACACGTAATCCCTCAAACCCGAAAATGATAAACCCAAGAACTCTCCCCCTTAATCCGAAGCCTGGGGTGAGCGGAAACCTGTTGTTCCAGTTCCTGTTGATCTGCACCACCAACATGAAGCTCTACAAAGCTCCTATGAAGTGATCACTCATATTCGTTAATAGTTCCTTTGTTATTATTTAACCAACCAATTGCAGTCCCTACTGGGAAAAATATTTTAAAACATTTGTCATTTTCCATTTTACCTTAAATAAATGTCAAGAAATATCCTTATCGATCTTTTTTATTTTATTAAACTGACTATTCAGTCAACAAAACTACATTAGAAATAGAATTCAGTCACACACCACTCTCAAAGCTGTATAATCCGAGCCGGTACAACATGTACTGCATATGCATTCAGTTGTACCTAGACTTTCTATAAATCGTTTTTTCTTTGAGTGATTCCAATCCAACCATCCGATAAGTCTAAAATCTCAAAGGCATTCTGCTCTATTCCCTGTAGAACCAGTCACTCACAACCACCAGCTACGGTCTACGGAACGTTGAACTATTTACTGTCAACTATGCTAGAACGGAGAAATACAGAAAATCTGCTATTCCTTATATGCAGAGAAAATTAAACTCTCTATATGATATAACCTTATCTTAATCTGTGATAAAACCCATGATATATTCAATTACATTCTTATGAGAATGTTAATCATATTATAATATGTATTATGATCTTGATTTATCTCTAATAAATCTTACTTACTTACTTACTTACTTACTTACCTACCATCCGATAAATAAATGAATTGATCTTCACGTTTTCAACTTCGACCCAACTGTCTTTACACTCTTTGACAAATTTTACACTTTTGACTGCTAGAACTTTAAACAGATTTTACCTCAGGTTTGAACTTAAAAGGTGTTGTGGGAGGTGTCTGTACATTAGACTTCTCCTTCCTAAATAATATTCTTTTTTTAAAAACTTCCAATTAATTAAAACAATTATAGAGTTTAAAAAATTTTAAATGCTAAGACTTTACTGTAGGTGAAAAGTTTTAGTTAAAAACTTCGGATCACAAAATTAAGGAATTTTTAAAAATTTTAAATGGCGAGAAAGTTGAGTTTACAAAAATTAAGGAGTTTTGAAAATTCTGAATTGCGAGGAAATTTGACTTTATGTTAAAGCTTCAAACAAATTAAGGATATTCTTCACAATTCCGAAACTTTTTAAATTTTCTATTAATGAATTTACAATTGATAAATAATACTAACCAAAATAATTTCAAATTACAAAAATTAAGGAAATTTTCAAGAATTCAATACTACGAGAAAATTTTTAGCATTTCTTTAAATGCATTCTCACGCGATTGCATTTGTAAAATTGGACTCACTTGTACTTTATGATATTCCTGGATTTGTTTTGTTTCGCTAGCTTCAGATTTACTTCCACTGAGTCTACCGTGGAATCCCGTCTAAAAACACCGCATTTTAAGAAATGATCGAATCGAAGTTCAAAATAAAATTTGTAAGACACATAAAACTTTCAAATAAGAAAATTATGATATAAAATATTTTATAAAACATATAACACAGTAGTTGTGCAGTGTTCGTACAGTAGTTGTTCAGTGTTCGTACAGACAATTTCACTGGAAAAGCTGTAGTTACAGTATCAAGTAAAGCTACTGGATAGCAACATCAAATACACTTAAATTGCTTAAATGGCGTTTTCTTATAACATAGATTTATGGGCCACTCTTTATTTTGTTTGGTATTGAAAATTATTGCGGGGCCCTTTTTAATGTTTTTTTTTTTAAATGTCGTAAGAGCAGACTCAAAAAATAATGTATTATAACTTCAAATAGCGTTCAAAATTTTGGAACTGATTTAACCTTAACTTAACGAATATTCTTGTCAATGAAAGCTGAGTTTGGGTAAATTTATTGTTTAGCTTGCCTTGGTATAAGAAGACCAGCTAACCAGCACCAGGGAATAGCAAGGGCGGCCAGGCTGTATCCAATCTCAAGCAACCAACCAATAACAGTTGCCAACTTTATCTATATATATTTCTTTTAAAGGGACTGCCGACGTAATTTCAAGTGATCCTCCATTTATAGAGTAACAAGTTGGATTATATATTGGTACCCTTTAAACCTTTGCCTGAGCAAAATGATTAAGTTATCCCTATATTTCTATCCAAAATTGTTTTTTTTTTAAATTGCAATTTTTTAAAACGTGACTTGCGTATTCAGACTTCAGATACAATGAAGAAGATTAACCTAATTCAAACAATATTTGGATAGAAAACTACGACATCTTCTCCATTTTTGCTCGATCAGATATACATTATACAGTCCTTTTAAGCGCTAAAAACATTACTCAAACATGTGAATGTGAGAATAAAGTGCATAAATAAAGAACTCTTACCTGTGTTGTGACGGGTTGTGATTTAGCAACAACATACACTATGATGCTTGCCAAGTGTACAGTATGGAACACGATAAGAAATGCGCCAATCAATTTGCTGGCCGTTTCGCGCGAGGAAGACGACCGAATTCTTGTGAATCCGTTGAGACATTGTCCAAGAAACCAACACAAAAGTAAACCTGAAATTATAAAATATTCACATTGAATTGAATATTCTATATTTTTGATTTTTCGATCTTTAGAGTGTAATATAATTTTTACCTGACGGTATAATATCGAACCAGACTGTTTTAGCAATAGCGACCCCGATCTCAGTAACTCCATTTGTCCGAGTCTGAAAAATCAAATAATTATTATTTAAACAAACCATTATTAGATGATATTAGGCCCTGACCTCTTAACCATAGACACAATCTTATGGTGTAGATAAATTAAAATCTCCCTCTTTCATAAGAAATAATGGAAAATCAGCAGTTTGGCGGCCATTTTGTATTTTTGCTTTCTTTCATTCTGTCTCACCTCATACGTCATGGTGAGATCAAGAAGAAGAATAACTACAGCGAAGAGGAGAGGAGCTCCTGCAGACATTATTCCAAGGATCCAGAGTAGGACTCCAATCAACCCTGTTAAAGAAGTTGAGTCTTTGCCATCAACTCAAATTTTCTAATCCTTATATCTTTACAACCTGATGGTGTAAACCTTTGATTTTTAAACTGAGATATTTTAATCTAACAGAATTTATAGTAGGAAATGTCCGGGTTGCAAAGATAAAGGCAATAGAAAATCAGAGTTTGTGGTAAAGGCTCATTTTTTATTTAAAAAATGTGTTTAAAAGTAATTTTTTATGCTCTGTTAAATAGGGTAAATCTTTTTATGAAAGTTGACAATCTTATGATATTCATGCTTAAAAAATCAAATTGAGAAGACATTTAAACAAAAACATGCAACTTTATTCATTTGTTTACTTTGTTACCTTCTGTTTCATCTGCAAGCAAATAAAAAATATGATAATTAATTAGTTTTGTTGTTAAATGGAATTGGACCAACTATTAGTTTCAAAAATTATTTATTATTATTTTAATTCTAATATATTTTTAAAGATAATTTTCTATATATCATACCTTCAAGTCTGCCCACTAGGGCTACCCCGGAATACACAGCTATTCCGTGAAACAAGTTTTCGACAAAAACATAGATTTTCCTAAAACAAATTATTTTGGAATTGCTTCAGATTTACTCCAAATGAATTATAAATGAATAAATATATTAAATATAATAAAAAAAACTGCTATTAAATATCGTCTTTACATTTACATGATTTGGGTATTTTCGTATCATTTACCTATTTATCTCACAATCCACTGTTTTACAATGAAGGGTTTGAACCCAGTAGGGATCTATGTGTTTTGAATACCAGGCTAAACCCTAAATTAAGAGTTAAAATAAAAATCTGTTGATTTGAAGTAAATGTGCCCTAAACTGTTATTGGTGTGCATGTACTAAATATTGTGTAAACATGATATTCTGTCAACCTGAAGTACGTTGTACATTATTAACTATCGACGTTTGTAAACTTCTACGTAAAACCCATTATTAATTTGAACTCCGTTTTAAATGAATACGTAGCATGATTAGCTTGAATCATGTGACATATAATGACGTACATCTAAATTACGCCTATTTTAACTGTGCTGCTATAATACGTAACATGACTGTCTTAATCATGCGATATAGATAAAGATGTAGGGATTGTAATAACATCTATTAACTTTAACTTGTAAACCTCAAATACACTAGTTGATATAGAAACTCCGCTTTGATTACAGTGTTGAGAGTAATTTGTTTTCGTTGAAACATACGAATATTGAGAAAGTTGCCTTGAGTTTTGGCTTGATAGATTAATTGCTAGTGTTTGGTTGACATTGGTAGTGGCGTTGATAGTTCACGGGATTGTATCCGTGTGTTGACATTGATTTCAAGAGAATCTGAGTTGTACCTGGAAAGATACACGTTTGATAAATGAGTAGGCGTTTATTACATACAGAACTTTATTCTACCGAAAGCTTTAAACGCAGTAATCAAAGAAAAATATCATCTGTAAGAATTGAAAATCCTTTTTATAAAATGGTTTCCAATTTCGTTTCTGTTTATTTCATTGTTATAATAATTTTTTATCAGCAGTTTACAGAAAACACGGTGTCTAGTTGTTGTAAATAAAAAAGCGAAAAAAGTTATAATTGAAGAGTTTTTATCACATTTCGTTCTCCTTGCCCCCTTCCTCACCTCCTTGTCCCCTCCCTTCCGATCCCCTCCCCACCATGCCGCCTCCGTTAACATTTAAATTTAACAGGCTAGAACCTATGCATGAGACAACAAGCAAATATGTTTGCAAAATACTGATGTCTAAAAAATACAACTTAATGTAAAACAGTTTTCTGATTCAAAACTTTAAAAATTACTAAAATAAATAACGTTTTTTTTAAAATATTGAATAAATAAACAAAAAACACATTTTACATATAAATTCTGGCACCCGCTCACATGCTCACCCGTATTAACTTTCTTTTTTCAATTTTAGCAGTTTTCTGGGACACAAAACCTTTAGCAGGCGCTAAATGTGATAAACTGGAGAAAAGGGTGAACTTCAAATTTCACAAAATAAAATAAAAAGAGGGTTCAGGGGGTAAAGAAAGGAGATCTTGGGGGTAAAGAAAGGAGTTCAGGAGATCTAGGGGGTAAAGAAAGGAGTTCAGGAGATCTAGGGGGTAAAGAAAAGGGTTCAGGAGATCTAGGGGGTAAAGAAAGGAGTTCAGGAGATCTATGGGGTAAAGAAAGGGGTTCAGGAGAATAAATGGGGGTATTGTGAGGATAAAGGGGTTTAGGGAGGATAGAAAGGGGTTTAGGGAGGATAAAAGGGGTTCAGGGGAAAGGGGTTTTGGAGCATATAAAATGCACAAACCTGCCAAACTATTTGAATAAATGTGAAACCAATAACTTCCTTCCAGCTTCCCCTTCCTCTCCTAATAATAATGTTAATGATAGTGATAATAATATTAATAGTAATTATACTATCGCCACTACTACTGATACTAATAATACTTATCATACTAAT